TTTCTGATGACCGCCACCTGTCCTTGGGCTTTGAGCGTCTCTACAAGGGCTTCGTTTTTTGCAAGCTCTCTTTTTTGTATCTAATTATGTTGAGACACGTGTCAAGACAATAGGAAAAATCAATAATTGCAGCTAGTTGCAATTATCGATTCTTTTCTAAAATGTATAAAATTTTAGACAAATAATTTTTAAAATAGAGAACTTTGCTGTTTTCAAAATTTTATTAGGATTTTATTTAGATTGCATAGTATTTTTACATTTTATTAAAATACTAATTTTTAAAAATAAATTTTGGAAGACGATCGGTTCGGTCGGAAATTACTTTTCCCATCAAACCAACTATTGACGAATCAGTTTTGTAATGACAAAATCGACTCCAATCAAAATTTGTATCAAACCGACCTAACAATATCAGCTTAGTCGGTTTTAAGCAGGCGAATCAGTTTTTTGGGGTGGTTTGCTCACCCGTAGACAATAGTTAAGAAGGTAATGGGAAAATAATATCTATGAAGATTGAAGATGAAGGTGTAGGATAGATTTTGAGAGTTTTTTTTTTTTTTTCCCTAGAAAAACAGAGAATAATGATCCCACAAGAAGAAAAAGAAAGTTTGTTATAATAATAGGGTTATAGGTAAATATAGTCCATGGATGAAGGGTATGAGAGAATGTTAGAAATTCATCATTTATTAAATGGGAATAAGATTGCTTGTCTTTCTAGTTGAAGAAGGGAAATATGGATTTGGCATTGCTATGCGATCATTTTTAAATGAGGTGGCACATTTGAAAAATTATCCCAACTGAATTTATTACTGTATTTGAGTGCTAAAATAGGTGACCATTAAAATAAGCTCAATGACTTCAACGAGTAAATAACAAATCTCAAAAAGTCAAAATTGTATTTTGCCAAATATTTTATTTAGTGGGTAAATGAAGTAAATAAATGTCATATCAAAATTATTTTGGATTCTTTTATGGAAAAAATGAATGTCAATAACTGAAATTACTATTCACTCAAGGTTTTCATATTAAAATAGAACCTGGAAACGATAATGAAAAATTAATGATGAGATTGAAATACTAATTTTTTTTAATGTAAAGTTAGTTAATTAAAAAAAATTAAAAAATTTAGATATTTAAATGAAAGTTTAATTTCAAATCATTCCTATAATACCAAACAATCAAATTCATTTAAAATTCATGATTTTGAAATCTTTCAAAATGTGAGGTAACAAACATAGCATTAAACTTTTTTTACCGTCATGTTCTAACACGAAGTTCTCCACGACGAAACAGGCATTGCCAGTTCAACATCCGCGGTTTCTGCAATATCAAAGAAATATGAAGTTTTAAAATTTAAAGCTTTTTTGACCGGTTACTAGTGTGTGGCTCTCCACAGTAGCCGTGCTATTTAACTGATCGGCAGTGGGTTCCAGTTGGGCGTCGTCAGCCGTAGACGACGGAGGAATGGGATTGGGTTCAACAACAACCTCAACTTCCTCATTGATGGAAGAAGAAGAAGCATGTGGTTGTGGGGAAGAAGTGGAAGATGATTGGGCCATGGAATTGCTCTCACCCTGAGCCTGAGGAATTAAATTAATGGTAGCAGATGTTACAGAAAAGGAAGAAGGAGATATGTTTCCTGCAAGATGAATGGACTTGGGAACTAGGGAGATTATGGATAATTCATTTATATGGATTTTAACCGTTTTCAATAGAATGAAAAATGAAATCTCAGTTCTCATAAAGATAAAGAAAATAATAAATAATTAACTAAATGAAAAAGGTGGATCCTTAACAAGTGGCATAGACATATTACAAAAGCAGTCGTATGATGGTTTTTAGGTTAATCCACTGGAAATTTGTAATAACTAAGAAGAAGCCTAATTAAGTTCCTAACAAATTATTTCACCACATGTTGCAAAACGTGCACCTAAAATGCGGATAGGTATTAAAAGAAATAATAATAAATCACGAATAAGTCAGAACCAATTGATTATGAGTATGAAGAGTTAGTGGCTATCATTTATCATATCAACATTATAAATTTTATTTAGTATTCACATTCACACGTTGAAATTATAAGTTGGGGGGAGGTTACATCATGTCCTTTTGAATTAAAATTTTTGCAATTTCTTCTTATACATTTTTAAAATTCAAGTAGGATGTGAGATCTAACAAATGTACTAATTTAATAAATAAATAACTTTTATAAATTCAATAAAAAATATGTAAATTAGAGTAATCGGTACTTTCAAAAATATTTATTTTGGTCTCTATAATTTTTAAAAGTGACCATTTCGGTCTCTATTTATAAAATTTTAACACAAATTATACACATAATTAAAATCTTTAATATAAAGTCATGATTACATTTCAAGAAATATATTGAGTGTAACCTCATGTTAAAAATAAAATTAAGAGATCAAAATGGTAATTTTTTAAAAGTATATGGATCAAAATGAACAATTTAAAAGCATATAAGGACTAAAATATTAGGGGTGAACAAACCAAGCTTAAAAACCGATCCGACCGACTAAAATCGATCGAATCGATCGGTCGATCGGTTTATGGGATGAGTTGGTCGGTGTCAATTCTTCACTGTGAAAAACTGATTAGTCGGTCGGTCGGCTCTTTTAATATCAAAAAAACCAATCGACCAACCGATTTATATCAAAAAGAAAATCCAAAGTTTCATTCCAACATTTCCAGCATTTCACGAGAGGAGAGCTACAAGAAGATGGAAAGAAAAAAAGATGGTAGGAGTAGAGAGAGGAAATGAGAGAAGGAAAGTGGGAGAAAAAGAAAAGAGAGGGAAAAAAGAGAGGGAGAAATGAATTGAAAAGAAAGAAAACAATAAAAAAAAAGTTGGTAACTATATAGTCAGGTCAGTCAGTCTCATCATTTCACAACATTCATGTGTATCATAATTTATATTTATTTATTTATTATTTTATTTTATGACTTTTCTTGTCCACCTACGTGGCTTTATAGGAGCCATTGCTTAACAATTTTTCAATTTCAATTTCTTTCATTCTTTCCTCTCAGTATCCGCTTCTCTTTTCCATTCTCTCACCATTTTTCTTCTCTTTCTTCCTCCACGTTCTTCTCTTCATTCGTTCTTCTCTATCTTCCCTCCTCAAATCATGTCTGCATTTTAGTCACACCATCACCCATTTGAAGAAGTCTTTATTTTGAGTTTAGCATCGACCAAAAACCGATCAAACTGATCGATCGAACAGTCGGTTGAACGCTCGGTTTGTACAAAGAGATAAAAAAAAATTTCTCCGACCGACCGAGGCTTACCCCTATAAAATATACCAAAGTTGAAAGTATATAGGGATCAAATGAACAATTTGAAAGTACAATGACCAAAATGAAAGTGCATAGACAAAAATAAACAATTTGGAGATATGGAGAATCAAACCTCCGATCTCGAAGGAAAAAGTACGTGTCAATTACCGTTGAGTTGCTCATGTTGGCTAAAAACAAAAACACTTGAGAGATGATTATCCAAAAAGTTAATTTTAATATAATTTACAAAGTACCTCAGAGTTATTACTAAATAAGAATAAACAAGTGTTTAAATTAAAAGATGTACCAAATTCCACCCTTACATGTTGATGCATCTTATCATTTTTTCAACTACATCAAAATAATTATTAGCAACAAAATGATCTTAATTCATTAGTAGTGCTATTAAATGGAAGACTTGAAGCCCTCGAAAAGGAAATTATATTTTCTCTCCAGTCATGTATGTACCTCAAATTTAAAATGAGTGGTGTTTGATGTCAAAATCTACCCAAGTACCATAGAGGGACCTGCAATGAGTACTGGCGAACTGGTTCGGAATGAGGTGATCGGGGAGACCTACAAAAATAGATAGAACACCCTCTCATGTTCAAGTTAGCTTAAGAAATGAGCTAAGCAGATCAGACAGATTCTCATACCTGATTAGGTGAAATGATGACGTATTTATAGTTGTCTAATGGGTAGTTTAGTTTTATGTCCTATTAGTCTTGCATTACTATTCCAGTTTTATGTGACTTGGTAGGTGTTGATGCAGAAATTTGGCCTCTTGAGATTCACCAAATTCACACCAATCTTCAACAATAAAAGGTATCAACGAAACCTGCAAAACAGAATAACATTAAAGACTAGTGTGGCTCTTGCCACACAGACTCCGATGCTTAAGTCAGAATCGGAGTAGTTGAGTTTTTTGTGAACTTAAACATGCATTTTGACACTTAGCCATGCCATGCATGAGAAATGTGTGTTGTAAGCTTTTGGTGAACTTAGACATGCATTTTGACACTTAGTCATGCCATGCATGAGTGGAAT